TGGGGTGAATCTGGCCCGTCACCCTTCATTCTAGACACCAGGTACCCCAGGGCCAGAAGGCTGCTGGCACATTTTACACATGCTCAGAATCTCTGATCAAAGAAGACAGGAACAGACACCACCAACAGAGCAAAGCTAGGTGCTCTTAGGGTTCCTCTGGGCACACACAGACACCGAGGACTCTGCCTCCTCCATGACACTCCCAACGGAGAAAGGGTTCTCGCAGGCCACTGCCAGCCAGGTGTCACCGCACTCCCTGCGTGGCAGCTGGACAAGGGCACCCGCAGGGACACAGCGCTGCTGCATATGCTAATTCACTGCTAATGACGCCTCTCCCTGGCACTGCAGGAGGGGCCCGGTGCTACCGCTACCGCTACTGGGAGGACTTGCCAATTAGGCCACTCACAAAGGAACATGCAGAGTAATTACCAGTGCATCTGAGTTCCTCCTCTAATTGATCAAACCACCCAGAATAATAAGCCAGCAATTGCTTCTATTTACCTGTGATATTTTTTCCCCTTCCATTCAATTTCTAGATATACTTAAGGAGAACAGGAGAAAACAGAAAATGTCTGGAGGCAGAAAGGCATTACTATTTAACTAAAATTCTTTCTCCTCGAAGGGGAGAAGGCATTATGTGGGTTTCTGAAGCCAGTCTCTCTTCCAGGCAACATGGAAGCCTGAAGCTCAGGGATGCAGAGCTCCTGACACGAACATTAAGTGAACACAAACACAGATTACAAGGCTGAACCCACTTATAAAAATAGCTGCCAAATTATAAGGTCCTTCTATCCTTAGGTCTGTTTGCCTCAAAAATCTCACATGAAAAGTACTAAACATCAATTGGTTGCAGTTTATATTCACTGGCCAATCTCACCCTAGGAAACCAAGTAGAGTTCAGAACAGAAGAGCATCCTGACCATCATCAGAGGAGCCTCACGGTGACCGGTGAGAAGTGACAGACACCTGAGCTCGGCCTCCGGGTGGGGATACTTGGGTGACGAGGCGCTGGACTGTGTCCACAAGAGCGTGGCCGGAAAACCCAGGCTGGGAGCCAAGACCTGTCCCAGCATACAAACCCGCGTGGGACAGACTCACAGGACTGGCTGGCTGGCCCCCAAGGCCCTGGCTGAGGGTTCCCAATTTCTATCCAGCAATTCTGATACTAATTTCCTGCATCGGCCTATTCTAGAGTCCCTGGAAACCGGCATAGAGCCCTACTCCTTTCGCTGGGCCCCTGAATCCGATCAGCTAGGCAGTGTGTATCTGTCAGTCTGAATAAGCACAAAGGCAGAGACCCATGTATAGATCACTGGGAGGGTCCAGGCCTGCAAGGTGCTGCCCCTGAGACCTCATTACGGAGCCAAGAGCCCAGATGACATGAATTATTCACTGCAGCCCTGGCCCCTGACTATGATGAGGGGGCACCTGGGCCCCGTGTAACCCGGCCAACACCCCCAGGCCCCGCCTCTGCCCCAGGACAGGGGCACAACAATTAAGGAGCACCTGCGCGTGTGCAGGGGCGGGGGGACCTAAGAACCCCGTCAAACTGGTGCCGCCCTCCTTCTGGCCAGCAAACCCACCCGGTGCACACCCAAGAAGCACCCCCCCCAGCCTTGCTGGGAAAAAGGCATGTGAGACAGCAAGCAATTTGGAAGACATGGAAGACCAAGTCCTGAAACTGCGCTAAGAACACAATGAGAAAATAAAGCGTGGCTGATTGTTCTCCAGTGAGCCTGCAGGCTGCAGACGGGAATAATTTTGCATAATTATTAACGTCAATATTGACAGAGGGCTGCCTAGGAGGGAGCCCGCTCGCCCATGCCTGACCAGCAGCCTGGATCGTGGCCTCGGTCCTCAAAGGCTGCACCCCAAACCCGAGTGCGGGCGACGCCGTGGGCCGCAGAACACAGCTGCCGTGTCCTGAGACTGGGACAGGCAGGAGGGCTTCTTGGTCTCATCTCTAAACACTTACCGAAAAGCCCAACAAAGGTGTGAAACGCAAATCATATTTATAATTCATGAGTGCTCTTTAAAGAAACGAAGGCATCTACACCAAATCTAGATGTCAGCAGAAACTAGAGGCTGCACAGTCCACACAGCCATTCCTCAATGGCCCAGCCTCCTGCTCCCCAACAGGGGACCCCGGCCCGCCTGGCCTCCTGCACAGAGCACGCACACCTCGAGGGAGTCCAGTTACACCGAGTCTGTCCCTGCAGGTGGGCACTGCACCACGTACATGAGCGTCACAAAACACAGCGTGACCCACGTGTGTGCAGCTGGGGCCAGACCAGCTCTTCAAGAGGGTGCTCATGAGGATGCCAGGCTGCTCCACCACGGTCTCTCCTCCACTGCGTCCCCCCATCTCAAAGGCAGACTCCCTCTCCAGGCCGTGCTACGTGGGTCACAAGAGAACCAAGCCAAGTGCACCAGACAGCTGCCCAAGGAGGTGGGAACACTGCATCTGGCCCTCAGACGGAAAGGTGGGGGTTGGAGAAAAGGCAGAGCCTATCCCAGGGGCAGCAGTGGGACGACACTAACCCAACCCAGGGGGGTCCTGACGTCCAGGGCTAAGGCAGGAAAAACTGTGGGAAGTCACCCAAGCTGGAGCCAGCCACTGCCCCACTGAGCTTCTGAGGGCTGGAAGGGGACACTGGGCAGCAGGCCTCTGACAAACCAGCCACAGTTCCAGTGAGCTCTGGAGAGCAGGGCCAGGCCGAAGGTGGGGCCCGCAGGGGACACCTGAGCCCTGCTGCAGCCACCTCCTCCCCTGGCCTTGCCCAGGACAGACCCTGCTGCAGAGGAGTCAGCCGCTTGGGTGAATGTGGGGAAGCGGCCTGCTTCGGACTGAGGCAAGTCCACCTAAGACTCGGAGGGAGGCCCAGCACTCGGTGTTCAAGATGGGTGTAGAGGAGGTCACAGGGATGAAGCCGTATCACAGACCGCTGCTCTGTAAGAGGACACCAGAGAGCCAGTGTGCGTGCACTGCTAGCTTGCTGCCCTCTCCCTGCCCCCACGGGCAAAAGCAGAAGCCAGGAGGAGGCCCTCGTGGGGACCGACCATGCTGGCACCCTGATCTTGGCTCCCAGCCTTGCGAATTGTGGGAAGATAAACTTCCGCTGTTCAGGCCTCCGGTCTCTGGTGGTTTGTTGCAGCAGCTGCTCAAACTAAGATGCGATGGGCTCGAGGTGACGGGGCACAGAGCATGGGAGATCTGATGGAGAAAGAAGCCCAGGCTATGTTCAGCGAAGGGGAAATGGCACCAACACAGGCAGGGACAGAGGGTCCATGAGAGTCCGTCAGAACTGGGGTCCATGCAGAGCAGAAGCAGGGAGCTGGGTCAGAGCTTATTCAGAAGGGAGAGACAAGCTGGTACCCTGTCTGCCCGATCTGTCACCCGTGACCACAGCCCACCTGACCTTGAGCTCACAGAGCAGAAAGGCACTGCTACTACATGGCCCTCCCTGGCTGAATGCAGGGGTGTGCCCACCTAGACGTTTTAACTTCAATTATGCAGCACCTCCTAACCAGCCCCTAAGTTACACCTCCTACTAAACAGCACCTTCCTGAGTCCATGGTCTGCAACTGTCTTTAAATGAGGAGAAGCAACTTCCAGCATAATCCAAAATCAGGCTACCCCAGCATTCCTAAATTGGCAATTTACTTTTAATATAAATTTGTAGATGTCACAGTTTGGACCTCAAATGCTTTCCCTGCAGGGGTTGCTGCTCAGATTACCGATCAGCATCCCTACATGGGAAGACAGGGAGTCCACAGGCCGTGTCCCTCAGGAGTGGGGACCATGTACTGCAGCCAAGAGTCCACTTCCTGCCAAGGGAATAGCCTGACTCCTGGACATTTTCCTCCCTTATTTTTTCTTCTGCTTTACTGAAAAGCAAAAAAGGAGTGTGAGCTCAGACTTCCTTTTCCAGGCCTGTAGATGGTCCCACTTCAGAAAGCATCTTCTGACCCAGGGCCTCGAATGGCTTTTCCGTTAGTCATTTTTTGTTTCCAACTTTTCTCAAAGAACCAGTGTACCTCCATTTTTTCACGAGATGAATGCAATGAGGGCAATGCAACAAACTGCCACAGAATGCATGTCTGTGCCCCTCCGAATTCCTAACCATGGTGATGGCATAGGTAGAGGGACTGCTGGCTAGGTAACAAGGGGTTGGTGCACTAATAAAAAAGGTCCCGAAGAGTTCCTTTGCGCCCTCCACCAGGGGAGGACACAGCGAGAGACACTGCTTATGAGCCCGACAGAGAATCTACTAGCACCCAGATCTTGGACTCCAACCCCCAAAACTATAAAAAGTAAATGTCTTTTGTTTCTAAGTCACCAGTCTGTAGTATTCTTCTGATCTAGTAGCTCAAATGGACTGAGGCACAAACACAATGTGTATGCATTACATGGTATTGTGGCTTGTATCTAGCTATCCCCTCAAAGCCTCATGCACTCATAGGTGGGGCTTTTGGGAGGTAGCTGGACTGTGGGTGTGTGATGCTGAGATTAAGGATGTGTGATTGCTAAATTGGCTTAGCATAGTTCTGGGTGTGGATAATGGGTGGGTGGCACCAATCAATAGCCTTGCAGCCTGGTGAGAAAGGAGGCAGGCTCACTGCTTGCTCCTGCCTGCCTGCCCTGCCATGGACTGCTTCTCCTCTGAGTGTCCCTGTGCCATGCCACCCTGCCTTAGAGCCATTCCACTATGGGCTGAAACCTCTACAAACTGTGAGCTAAAATGGACCTTTCTTCAACTTGTGAGTATCAGGTAGTTTTGTCCCAGCAACAAGAAAGTAACCAAGATACATGGGAAAGTGGACATATGGAATCCTGTGATCTCAAAGTTTAAGGCTAAAGACAAGACCAGTGGAAATCCATGAAGGACCCTGTACACACTTACTTCTTCCTCCCCTGCCCAATCCATCTGACCCTCCTAAGAATCACTGATGCAGTGAGCTCCATTGTGGGCTCTGAACTATAAGGCTACAGAACCAAACAAGGGGTCCAATGGCCACAGCTCAGAGATGTAGCCATTATGATGAAGTACAATGTCTTCATTTACTCCTCCTGCCCTGGAACCCAACCCATCAGCTCTGAGGAGCAGGTTTGGCAGGTCTTGCTGCTGTCACATCCTCAGGGTCCAGCCTCATGGCAGCGGTGTTTGAATCCTGGGTGAATGGATGACCAGAGGGCCGTTAGCAGCTGCCCAACGAGTGCAGAACACTAGGAATGGATGCTCGTGCCAGAGTGACACAGATTGGTGACATAAAACCAAAGAACTCAAAGCACAGTAGGTTCACGCGTTGTTTATCTAGAATATTATGTTGGACTGAGATAAGCTTGTTTCCCTAGCACTTTTCAGGTGACAATAAGCTAAGAAACGATCTGTCGTGTGGACATCGGCACCATCACAGCCTGGAGCGCTGGAGAGATGGACTCGGGAGCTGGGCGCCAGGTGCCCACCAGAGCCTCCAGGTGCTAGGAAACCCGAATCCAACAGGTAGTGAGTGCTGTCACTCCTTATGCACAGTCCCAAGCTGTCCCTGGGGAAGAGATGCTCAGTTACCTGAAGGCGTCAGTTGGCCAATCATGTCCGTCCCCAGCTGGCCACCGCACCTCATGCAGCCAGCCAGCAAACCAGCTTCGGTTCACTGGCCTGGGAACACAAGGCTGAGAGTCGCATCTTCAATCCCGCCATGCACTGTCCACACCTCTCCTCGGTGTGTCCTGGGCCCCTGAGGTCGTGCTGGACCACTCACCAGTCCAGCAGCAACTGTGGGCGCAAGTGAGCATTTCACTGCAAATGCAACTCATCCCTGGACAGTCAGGAATGTTAGAGGAGGGCCTCCCACCAGCCAGGCACCTGTGGGGTGAGGAGAAGCACTCGGCTACTGTCCGTGCACGTGCAGGCCAGGGGCAGGGCAGGAGTAGCCCCTCACTGCTCACACCCAGACCTGGGGACCTGTCTGCTACAGGCACAGCCTGGCTGGCCCTCCTGGCACCTCACCTGCTTCTGTCCTCCTGTCCCAACCAGTGCCCAGCCCTGTTAAGATTTTACTCCCCTACATCTCACTGTCACACACTCAGCTCAGGCTACTTTTCTACCTGTTGGTGGGGGGCTTCCTGCTCCCTCCTCAGCTGCCCCAGCCCCAGGTCCTATCCCACCATTCCCATGGGCTTTCCCCGCCGTGGGACACTACATCACTCTGTTCCTTCCAAGTGCCACTGGTCACTTTAGCTCTAATTTTTCATTTTCTCTCCTAGGTTCCCACAGCTCTCTGACAATTACAACCAGTAATCAAGAAAAAGAGACTGGAGTTACCTTACTACTTGGTCACAAAGTCTCCCTCCCTGGTGAAAAAATAAGCTTCCAGAATAAGGCAAGAAAGAAAGAAAACTCCAGGGCCCCATAATAAACATCCTTCGAAATGGCTATGCTCAGCACCAAAGCACTTCTGTGTAGCTCTCAACCACTGCTTCGTTCATCTGCAGCCTCCGAAATGTGTCCTCCTCTCATCATTGTGATGGGTGCTATTATTACTACTGCTGCTGCTTGTACTGCTACTGCCCTTCCTATCCTCTGCACAGTCCCCAATTAGAGGACGTGAAGACAGTAAGGGAGATGAAAGGTTGGAACAAGGGCACCACGTGGCAGCTCAAACCTTTCCTCGGATGCTGCAGAGCTCGATTCTTGCCCCGTTTCCCCCAGGCCTCCAACAGACAGACCTCAAATCTGCCCATCAGTTCCATGTCATGGAAAACTGCTCCATTCTTTCCCACTACAAAAAACAAATAGAAGTACAAAAATAAATTTGGGGTTAGAAGCTAAGTAGCAGTAGGGCCTCGAGACTCAGGAGACCTGTTCCTCTCTGGGTATCCATCACCAGCTCCCGACAACTCCCATCCCCGGAGAAGGCAGGGCAGGCCCCGAGGAGAGGCAGCAGGAGGCCCAGCCCAGTGCTGGGCAGAGGAGACATCAGCACAGGCCCCGGGCCCGGCCACTCCCCTGCAGGCACCTTCAAGCCCCTGGTCTGGACAGCTCCACCCACCGCGGGCCCCATGGAGGAGGCCTGCCCACCCTCCCAGGCCCAGGAATTGCAGCCAGCAGGCTTCTTCCCCAGCCGGGTTACAAGGCACTTCACATACTCCAGCCACCAATCCAGCTGCTCCCACCGGACAGCCACCAGCGCTGCGAGCTGTCACCGTCTCCCTGTGAGAATAAGCCTGGAAAGGCAGCAGGGTGAGGAAGGCAGCTGAAGCCCAGCCGGGGATGCTTGGAGAGGTGCAACTGTGAAACCCAAAGCAAAGGTGAGCCAGCCTAAGACCCACACGGAAAATGACGCCAGTGCGCCAACGCCATGCTCTTGCTCAAATGGCACGTCCACAAGGCCGTGGGTGCCCACTCAAGGTGCTGCCAGGGTAAAGTGAGCAGATCTAGGTGCGTCTTCTGCCCAACATGCTTTCCAGGAAGCAGTATTTGGATGCAACACATATCCAGCTATTATCTATCCTTTAAAAGTAAGTCTGATATACCAATAAATCCTCACAGACCCTGAGCCTGGCCTCCAGCCTTCCAGCAGCACAGCTGTGCCCTCCCCTCCTCCTCTGCCCTCCAGGCCTGCAGCTTCTCACACACACGGGGAGCCCTGGGTGGAACCCCAAACTACCTACCCCAGTGTGCCCACTGAGGGGCCTCACAAGGTTCTGGCCCAGCTCCCCTGGGTGACAAAGGAAGCAAGGCTGAGGGCAGACGCGGGTCAGCCTGCATCCTGGGCAGTAGGTATCATCTCCGGGCTCCAGAACAGCCCTCCTCCCCACAGGCCGGTGGCTCGCTTCCTACTGGGGGCACTCACGGAGGACAAAGAGGCTCTGAGACAGGAACTGCATTCCTAGCCAGACTGCAGGCATAATAAAACCTCAGGCTGCTCTTCTATAAAACCCACAGGTCCCACCCAGGCCCATCTGCATGGTTCAGGGGAGCCCAGGTCTAAGCAGGGAGAGAGCTCTGGCCTCAGAGGCGCACGGAAACTCACCCTGGCTCCAAACCTGCCCCCGGGAATCCAGGAGCCTCCCTCACAGGCCTGGCCCTGCTCTGCATGCACAGGGCAGAAGCAGAATCACTGAGTGCATCCCTCTCTCTGCCAGGGTGCCAGCCAGAGGGGTGAACAGGTGCGGAAGAGGTCCGTAAAGATAAGAAGCACTGGCTCCTGCTTTAACCCTTGGCACCCACAGCTACTTCTAATATCCAGGGCAGCCTTAGATTCAGCTGTGAAGTGCAGGATTCACCACGATGGCAAATCTGGAAAAAGGCTCCTTCCAGACTGCGACCCAGACTCTCAGAATAGCAGTGACGATGGTGGTACAGTGGAGCCAGGTCCCAGGCCCTGAACCACTGTGTGCTATCCAAGGCCATCCTGGCTACCACCCTCCTCCATATCCATCCCAGCAAGGCAAGAGGGTGAACTGATATCATTCACTTTGTACAAACAGGTTCTGCTCACCTTAAACAATGAAGAGCAGCCCTCTCTCCTGGCTCATACCTCAGATTCATCAACAGCCTAAAAAAGAGTTGGCTGGGCAGTTGCAAGCACATCTGGACAGTCACACCAGGGTGACAAACGCCAAGTGAGCCTCCAGCCAGCACAGCACCCCAAGTCACCCTCGAGGAGGCTGGGGACAAGGCCAATCCCAGAGCTGTGGAGTATTTATCAGTGTCCACAGAACTCTTCTCTGCAGACACAGAACGTATTTGCATGTTTTGTAGTTTTTAGGATAAAGTGCATGCTTATTAAAGCTGAGAGAGAAGCACATCCTAACTCCACAAGGCAGCACATCCTCCAGTCTGCAGACAGCATTAAACAACTGCAGCTCTGTGAGCCCCCAACCTGGAGCTGCCGGAGGAAGCCGGTGCCCTGCGTTACCATGGGGACACGGGCAAATGGGGCATCCAGGCTTCCTCTCCACTCTTCAGATCTGCGCCGGGAATTCTGCCGTCATTCACTAATTGCTGGCTTCGAAGAAATGTTAGGCAACAAACATGCACTGACCGGCTACAGCTGGCAGTATTTTTTTTAAAGCAAAATCCTCATATATTTCCCCATTTCTGACAAAGAGTAACTCTAAACGATGAGGATTCTGTAAGTGCACTTCTATTCCTGAAATGCTGCTTTCTCACGTTCTCCTGCAGGGTGTCTTGAAGCTGGTGTGTTCACCTGTTACCCACTCAGCAAGGCCGGGAGGGAATACAGGGAGCACGGAACGGGCGCCCAGGCACCATGCCAGACACCAGACCAGAGCGACGAAGCCAGGTGGAGGAGACTCTGGGGAGGGACCCAAAGCTGCCAAATAAAGCTTCGTTGGGGGTTAGCTGGCCAGACGGGACAACTACAGGCTCCCAGAACTGGATTTCCTCACCTGTAACGTGGGGACAACAAAGACAGTAATGGAAACCGCTGCTATCAGACACAGAGCACAGCACCCGGGCCAGGGCGGGCACTCAAGGCTATCCCCATCTTTCATCATCACCACCATCACCATCACCACCATCATCATCATCATCATCATCACCATCACCATCATCATCATCATCATCACCATCATCATCATCATCATCATCATCATCATCATCATCATCATCATCATCTTGCCAAAAGAAATGACTGTGCCACCTGAAACAAAGGAAATGAAAAAGTGGCAAGCCACATTCTTTTCACATTAATCAATAAAGGAATGACACATTTGAACTAAAAAAATGTTTTTCTAATTCTATTCCTAATGACAGATTCTGGAAGGCACTCATTAAATTTATCTCTCAAAAATGAACAAATAAGCCAAACTGCATGGCCAGAGACCTTGGGACTCAGTTCCTAAGATCGGGGATCTGTTAATAGTCAGATTTCCAGAAGCAGCAGCAGAGCCGAGCTGGACACAGCGCTGAGACCCAGCTCAGGAAAGCTGGAAGAAACGGGTAACTCTGGGTGCCGTGTGGGGCTGCGCCTCCCTCCACCTGTGACCCAGACTCAGAAACAGAGCCGGATGCCCTGGCAACTGACAGACCAGAACCAAGCTGACCTGGTCACCTGCCAGGAATGCCAGGGCTGATTCCCGGGAAGCAAACTCCCAGCCACTCCTGCGAGCAGCACTGGGGACGGGAAGGGAAGGCGAAGGAGCGGGGCTGGACCGCAGGCACCAAGTTCTCCAGCCTGGAAGGAGGAGTGCATCCAGGCTCTGCGGCACAGCAGGGTGAACACGGTGTACAGCAACTTGCCCTGTATTTCAACGCAGCTACAGGAGACTGTGAATGTTCCTAACACACAGAAATGGATGCTCAAGTTGGTGAAATGTGAACTACCCTGACCTGACCATTACATATGACGTACATGTATCAAAATAGCACAGTGTACCCCATAAGCTTTTAGTGATCAGTTCAAAGTTCAAAAAATTTGAGCTGGGCATGGTGGTACACACCTGTTTCAGCACTCGGGAGGCTGAGGCAGGAGGATCGCCATGAGTTCAAGGCCAGCCTGGGCTACACATTGAGTTCAGGACGAGCTTGAAATACATAGAAAGATCCTGTCTCAAAAAAGAAAACAAAATAAATATTTTAAAGTATCTGAAAGTTTCAGCCTTCCAGCACCTAACACGTTTCTTTATATACAAAGGAGAAAGTATCTAACAAAAACTGCATGTGCCGCTGTGTTGCGGTTTTTAAGGATTCCTCCGACTTTTACCACTTCCCCCAAGTACCTGAACTATGTAACTGCACTGAATCACTTAGCAAACACATGGAGCACCCAAGCACCCCGTTTGGGTCTCAGTGCTCGGGACACATCAGGGGCCCCGGTCCAGCACTGGTGATCAGGGAAGAAACAAACATTGTCAAGGTGTGTCGGACCTTGATAAGTGCTTTGGAAAACAGACAAAGGAAAGGAGGGCATGTGGGACAGAAGGAAGATGCTACAAACTGCTCCACACGGGGACCCCACGGAGAAGCTGGGACTGAGGCAGAAAAGGTGAAGAGGACAGGCACTTGGCAGGAGGAGGCAGAGCAAAGGCCCTGTGGTTGGTATGCTGGGGGAACAGCAGGAAGGAGGTGCAGCTGAGACGCACGGAGGAGGCTGGAGCAGAGCACAGGAGGATGAGCAAGGGCTTGCAAAACTTACTGGCAGGGGCCAGAGAATGAACAGCTTGAGTTTCACGGCCAAAGAGAGACGACTGGGGAATTACAGAGGTCTCTTACAACTACCAACTCTGCCAACGTGGTGGGAAAGCATCGCAGACAACATGTGCGCTGACAAGCAGCAGTGTGACCCAGGGTAATGTCATGAAATCTAGTTTCAGTTGTCACACTATTTTGACTATTTCCCCAACCATGTAAGCCACAGGCGGGGCAGGATGGCTACGGGCCGTGGTGAGGACCTGGCCTCACTCAGTGCCCTGGAGAGCCACGGTGGGCACAGGGGAAGTGGGTCCTAGCAGTCACCCTGCAGTCTCCTTTGAGAATGGATCGCTGGGGAGAGGGAAGTGGGGAGGCAGCACTGTGCTCCGAGAGAGACGCACCTGCCATCCTGGGCAGAACCGTGTCAAAGGCCCCGCCCCAGTGTGACCATCAGAGCCACAGCCTCAGGAGGGGACGGCAGCTGCCACTGGCCTCCTCCTGCTCCCCCTGCACATGGCAGGAAGCCCAGGTGAGGACACAGAAAGGCCTGTCAGAAAGGACGCCTTGACCTTGGACTTTCAGCTTCTCCCCAGCCAGTTCTGCAGGGAATCAACAAGGTTC